GGGGGGGGGGGAATCCACACGTGGGGAATCATGGCAGCAAAATGCGCTGTGCTGTCGCTTTGCAGAGCGGTGGTGGAGGCCGTGCATCGCCTGGATCTCATCCTCGGCAACAAGGCAGCGTACCAGGAGGTGTTCAAGCCTGAGAACATCAGCCTGAGGAACAAGTAGGTTGGGCAGGGAGCTCGGGGTGGTGCTGTGTGGGGCTGCCGTGGCTGAAGGCGCCGTTCCCTGCTGTCTGCCAGGCTGCGGGAGCTGTGTGTGAAGCTGATGTTCTTGCATCCCGTGGATTATGGCAGAAAAGCGGAAGAGCTGCTCTGGAGAAAGGTTTACTATGAAGTTATCCAACTCATCAAGACGAATAAGAAGGCAGGTATCGCGGGGTGGGGTGGGCAGCCGGCCGGGCCGTGGGGTCAGGCTGAGCAAGAGGTTCCTCTGCTTGGAGATGTGTCGTCTGAGCACCGAGCGCTGCTGGGTGCGAGCGGAGCTGACAGCTGAGTTCTCACAGAAGCACAGATGTCAGGGATTGGGAGGGATGTGGAAAGCTCACCTGGCCCAACGTGGCAGCAGCACCCAGACCGGGGCACCCAGAACGCATCCAGGTGGTTGGGAACCTCCAGAGGAGACCCTGCCACCCCTCTGGGAGCTCAGTGCCGTCCCCCTCGCTGTGAAGGGGTTCTTTCTCACGCTGATGCAGACCTCCCAGCGGGCACCCACTGCCCCTGTGCTGCCATCGGGTGTCACTGAGGAGAGCCCAGCTCCTCCCAGCACTCAGCCTTCACAGGTCGTGAGTTCCCCCCTCCACCTGCAGCCTCTCCTCAGCACGGCGGTGCCCCGCTCCCTTCCCCATCTCTGGGGCTCTGTGCTGGGCTCTCCAGCCGTTCCTTGCTGCAGTTTCCTTCAGCTGAAGGGCAGTAACTCCTCACAATCCCTGGGATGGTTTCATTGCAGAGCGCATCCCGCCGTGACGCGCCTTCTGCCTTCCCAAATTCACAAGGCACGTTTCCTATGTAAAACGACTGCCAAGATGGCTTTGCCAGCACAGATTCCTTTTTTCCCCTGGCACTGGTGGCACAGAAATACTCCCTCTCCCCGTTGTGTGAGGCAGCACGCTGTCCCACAGCGATCTGATGGTGGGGACGCCATTCAGGCTCCAACCAGTCCCTTCTGCTGTTCATTTCTTACTTTGTCACTGCAGGCATCTCTTCTTAGAAACGCAGCAGATAAAGCGCAGCCCAGCAGGGGAGGCACGCTGAGGGGTCGCAGCAGAGCTGCCTGCTGTCTCACCTCCTCCTCAGCACAACTCGGGTTCCCAGCTGCATTATTACTCCCCCCGCTGACCCCTCCTGGCTTCTCTGTCCCGCAGCACATCCACAGCCGCAGCGCCCTGGAGTGCGCCTACCGCACTCACCTGGTGGCCGGCATTGGGTTCTACCAGCACCTGCTGCTCTACATCCAGTCCCACTACCAGCTGGAGCTGCAGTGCTGCATCGACTGGACGCACGTGACGGACCCGCTGATGGGTGGGTGCTCGTGGGCAGCGGCTTGGTGGGGTGGGATGGGCTGGGAGGGGGGCTTTAAAGTGGTCCGGTTCCGACCTCTGCTGCTGGCAGGGCCAGCTCTAGCTGGACCAGACTGCTCACAGCCCCATCCCGCCAACCTTGAGCACTTCCAAGGAGGGGGACAACCTGACCCGTGATCTCCCCACTCTCGCAGTAAAGCATTTGTCCCCGATATCTACTCTCAATTTACCCTCTTCCAGTTTAAAACCATTTCCCCCATCCTGTCGCTGCGTGCTCCTATCAAAAGTCCCCTCCCCAGCTTTCCTGTCGGCCCCCTCCAGGTCCTGGCAGGGCTGTAAGGTCCCCACAGAGCTTCCCCTTACCCAACTCAGCCTGTCCCCATGGGGGTGATGCTCCATCCTCACCTCCATGGTGCTCCTCTGGGCCTGCTCTGGCAGCTTGGTGGCCTCGTGGTGCTGGGGCTCAGAGCTGGGCGCAGTGCTGCCGGTGGGGACTTGGGAGAGCAGAGCAGAGGGGCAGATCCCCCTCACCCTGCTTCCCTCAATGCAGCCCGGGATCCTGCCAGCTTTCTGGGCTGGGAGCTCGCACTGCTGGCTCACTCTGGGTCTTCCATCCACCAACACCCCCAAACCCTTCTCCTCAGGGCATCTCTCTGTGCCTGGCGCTGCCCTGACCCAAGTGCTGTGCTTGGCCTTGCTGAGCTCCGTGATGTTGGCACATGCCCACCTCTGCAGCCTGCCCAGCTCTGCACGGCGTCCCTTCCTCTGCTGTGTGGCTGCACCGCTCTGCTTGCTGTCACTGCAAATTGCTGAGGGTGCATCCGACCCCTCCGTGTCACCTGCAGAGGAATTCAGTGACACCGATGGCAGCTCTGAGCACAGCCCCCCTCAGGTCCTGCCCTGGGCTGGCCAGTCCACTTCAGCATCCACAGGATGACCTTTTCATGCTGTATTTCTTAGAACAGACTGAGAGAACCTCCGGAGGTCCGGAGGGAAGGGTTTGGTGGTGGCAGCCATAGCTGGGGGTCAGGAGAAGCGCTCATGGCTGCATGGAGTTCATGAGGACGGGTGGCTGTGCTGCTGGGGGGCGGCTGCTCACTGCTCAAGGTCAGCTCTGCAGGCAAACAGGGCTCCTCGTGCTGCTGGCATCCTCTGTGTCTTGGAGGTGAGGAGGTGAGGGAGCTCCTGTAAGAGAGCAGGCCGTGTCTCAGCAGGGGATGTTTGGTGGCTGGTTGCAGCTCTGCGCTTGGTGCAGCACAGAAGACAAATAGGTAACGCGATCGTTAAGGTGTGACATCGTGCATCCAGACAAGATGGGTGGCTTTCACTCCCACTCCTCCAACCAAAGCCAAGGGGAAGGAGCTCTGGCTGTGTGCTGATTGGGATGCTTCCCTCTGGGGTTCCTGGGGAGAGATTTCCAGGATCTCCAGGATCTCCAGGAGCTGGAGCAGCAGGGCTGAGCCTCAGTGCCTCCTTGGTGCCGACCTGGCTGCTCTCCTTTCCCTGGCAGTGGCTGCAGCAGCGCTGTACCATCAAGGCTTCTATGTTTTTCTTCTTCCTTCTTTCCCAATCCCAAATCCTGATCCCAACCTGAATACATAAAATCTGCTCCCGCTGTTGATGGTGGGGACGCCGGCTCTCCTCCAGATTCTCTCCTCCAAATTCCTCGTTAGCCACGCTGACGTCGTCAGCCTCTCTCCAGGCACAATTAGCATGTGCTCAGCGCTGTGTTAGCGCTGCTGCATGGCTTGTAGGCAGGAGCTGGCTGTTGTTCTCCCATCTCAACGCAGGCAGCCTCCAGCAGCACGATCTGAGCAGATCTTTGGTCACCCAGCACCACGTTGGGTGTCTCAGGAGATCTTTGGTCAGCCAGTGACGCATCGGGTGCCTCAGGCAGCAGTGTGGGCCCCTCGTGTGCCATTCCAGCTGCCTTTTCCCCAGTGCTGTGCGTGACTTCGTATTTCTCCCACTCTAGGCTGCAAGAAACCCGTGTCTGCATCGGAGAAGGAGATGGAGTGGGCGCAGATGGCGTGCCACCGATGCCTGGTTTACCTGGGGGATCTGGGTAAGAGAGCATCGTCTGGTGAGGGAACCCTGGTGTGCAGGAAGAGTGGGCACAGTGCTGGGCTCCCCCCGACTGCTGGGGTTCTGTCAGATGCATTTGTTGGTGACAGAAGGGGCAGAAGTGTCGGGTTTGCGCTGCACGCAGCTGTGGCACCGTGGGTGCTGAGGACCGCAAGCCTTTCCTTCAGTGCTGTTTGTTTGGATGGCGTGTGGTGCAGGATGGCTGCAGAGGCAGAGATGTTTTGTATTGGGCCACCATGGGTTGCGTCCTCGTGTGGGGCTGTGTGTCACCCTTGTGATGGCACAGCTGCCGTCTGAGGTGTGTGAGTGTGTTGGGGTGAGGGGAAAGGAAGGAAATATCTGTCAGAGAAACCAATCAGCCCTTGGAAATGTGTCGTGGTGCAGGGCCTCCAAGCTCCTGGAGCAGCTTGGTGCCATGGAGTGTGGACCAGCCTGAGAACCTGCTGCTAATCAATGCTGGGGGGGGGGGGGGGGGGGGGG